GTGTGTGTGTGTGTGTGTGTGTGTGTGTGTGTGTGTGTGTGTGTGTGTGTGAGAGTCTTGGTGGACAGAATGGCGTCTTTGTGATGGTGATGCTGCGTTGACCTCTGACACCATCCACACGGTGACACATGTGCAGCTTTTCGTTCTTTCTCATATCCTGTCTGCAAACAGTCCTTATCTGCATTTCATCTGGTTTCCCCCGTTTGCAGTGTGAAGTGGTGCATGATGAACAAATATGTTTGGAAGTCCTTCTGGTTGACGTTGATAAACCACGCTGACCCTCAGCTGCTGCGATGAGGCACGTTGTTAGGATTGTAATTGGAGGTTTATCTGATTAATTCGTCTCTTTTAGAACAAAATATTTGTTGTCCGTCAATAATAATGTATTTCTTCACCTTTCCCCTGTAGTGCTCTCCTATTGGCCTGCTTCATCCCCTTCTGAAACACTGAGCAGTGACCTCAGTCTGATGTGTGCGTCTGCGTATTATTCAAGTTTGCAGAAATATTAAGCAAACACAACAATTTAGAAGTTAAACTTTGAGTGCTTTTATTGGTATGTTTTCAGCAACACATCAGGAGATGGAGTGAATCAAAGACACCAGCGATTAGCAGTCCTGGAACTGATCTCCATCCGTAGGACAAATGAAAATCCTGGTGCCAACACTCAGAGCAACACAAACTCCATCACCTTAAACATGCTTCGTCAGCGTTTACCCGTCAGTGCTGCTGTTGCTCACAACGTGCAGCGATCAGGCCGTGGGCACATTCTCAAATTAAAAAGCTATACAGGTGATCAGAAAACGCTGAACACCACCTGATCATCGGTTGGGCCAGTAACTGAGCAACATGTGTCACTTGCATGTGAGGTGATTTCATCCAACATCCTCCTGCTTGTCTCCCTCTCTCCATCCAGCGTCTGAGCCATGCGGAGGCTTTTTAGATGCCAGCGACGCCGGCTACATCACCACCCCCGGCTACCCGCTGGAGTATCCGCCTCACCAGAACTGCCGCTGGGTCATCACAGCCCCCGAGCCTTCGCAGCGCATCGTCCTCAACTTCAACCCGCACTTTGAAATAGAGAAACTGGACTGCAGGTAAGACCAAGACGACACGCGATGGCTGGAAAACACAGCGATTTAAAGAACAAACGGGAGAAAGAGCGGTTTAGAAGTTGTAAAGACTTAAAGTTACTGCGAGAAATTAGGTTGCAACTGAGGAAAGATGAGAAGTTGAACTACTTCTTGCTCTCTCTGGGGTTTCTGCCTCCACCAGCCTGTCTCTGTGAGAGAGTTGCTGGGTGTGTTTGGTGAACTTCAGCCCACTCTCCTCCTGTTTCTCTGGCTTTAACTATCCCATAATAATCACTCTGGGACCTCCCCTGGTCCCCTGTCTCTAATTATCAATGTCTAATTACAACACATTTACTGTTCCAGCATGGTTTTCACACTTTGGGAGAATTAACACAGATTAGAGGATTTGGTGTCCATCATTGTTTTTGGCTGTTGGGCTTTGGTTGCACGGTGAGGCAGAGAGTTAGGCAGCATGAAGTAAAAATAGAGCGAGCAGAGATGAAGGCAGACTGAAAGAAAACAGGGCGTCATGGAGAAACGCTGCATCGCGGTGAGAGACTAGTGAGAAACAAACCCGCAGTAGGAATGATAGGCACATAGCTGCAAAGGGCCGATGGAGAGCTGCCATGAACCAACTCTTCCTACATGAGACGTCCTCTGTCATGTGCCTCTAAAGAAGCTCCTGACTGGTCCCATCCCTGTCATGGGTGAAGGCCTCCTGCTCTGAGAGGAGGAGGAGGAGGAGCGGTGAGGCCGTGTGAACGGCTGCAGATCCACACACACTTCACCCGCCGTGGCTCTGCTCCCGTTATGAACGTTTCAGCCATATCAATTATAGATAGGTGAGTTTCCCCACTCACATGCACCAAAATCATTCAGACATTTCTTTGTTGGAATTGAAGCATCAATATTTCACCGGCTGCCTGTTTGTTGAAAGGCTGAAAGGTTGAACCGGAGCGCTGCGCTTTGCTCTGCTCGCCTTTTCTTTGGCGCTGCGCTGTGGAAATGAAAAGCTCACTTCTCTGCCTGTTCTCCACATTTCCTCAGTTTGTCTAGATTCGGTTTGGTACGTTAGATGCTCTCTTGTTCTGTCTCCAGTCTTCTCTCCTGTTTCTATCTCCTCCACTGCCTCTGCCCTTCTGTCCCGTTCCTCTTTGAATTTCTTAGATCCATTTAAAGCCGGTCGTTTCCCAGGAGCTGAAACATCGAGAAACAACAGCCTCTGATTTATTTATTGTGGTGCATGCATACAGTGCATAAGCTGCATGTGTGCAGGACATGTGTTGGTCCGACACTGTTTTTAAGTTTCAGAAGAACTTTTTGAAAGCTCCTCGTCCAGACCGTGCTGCAGGAGAAATGTGCAGTGCTGGTGGTAACATCTGTGGCTTAATAGTTATTGAGAAGCTCCCTACAGCACAGAGCTATTTAGGTCTAGAGGCGCCTGATGCCGTGTGTGTGTGTGTGTGTGTGTGTGTGTGCAGGGGTAGGCTGAAATTGAGCTGTTAGGTTCAGAGGCCACGGAGAAGAAGGATCTGATGGATGGTGTGTCTGTGGGGGACGGATGAACGTGGTCACCCAGCGACTGTTCGTTTAACTTAGTCGTGAGAACATTATCCTGGTTATTCTTTTCTCAAAGAGCTTTGAGGAACAGAAAACTACTGGTCATGTTCGGTTTAAGGAGAGTGCAGACAAACACCTCTATGTTGACAGACGACGCTGTGAGCAGGCGTCGGTTCCTCCCTGTCTCTTCTTGTCCAATACAAACTCATGACAAGGTGGCGTCACCAAAACATCCATCAACACGCACACGGCTCTGAATCTGCATCCCGGTCAGACAGCGATTGTTTTTTTTTGTCACTGTGATGAAGCAGTGCGATCTATTATGATCCTGATTGCAATTTAAGATTGGAATCTGTAATCTATAATGCATCACATTTTGTCAGGCACTCGGCTGGCAGTGCGGTCAGAATCGATGGAGCGGTGTCACGACAAAGAGACGTTTTCATTAGGATTCATGTACAGTAGCGACTTCAGCGCAGGGAAGCAGCTGAGGGGAGTAGGAGAGGCGAGAAGCTCCTCACAGGATAACGACATCCATGACCAATCATGTCTCACCATCACTTCCCGTTTCCTATCACATGATGGTCACCGTGGTGAAAAGTCCATCGAAGGTGATGGTTTCAGTTACACAACATGTGTAGTGCCTGTGTGTGAGACCACATGATTAGCCAGCACATAGACAGAGGACACTCTGTGTCACTGTGTGTTCATCAGACCTCCTCCATGCAGCTGGTATGGGTGAAGAACCACATGTCATGTTGGTGTCCAGTTCGTTTCATTTCATCACAGAAAGACTTATGTTGGTGCCACTTGCTGCCTTGGGGTTTGTAGGAACCATGCAGGGAATCGAAGTTGTTCAGAGCTGAGCCCGGCTGTGTGAAGCCGGCTGTCCTGGAGGCCAGCGACAACCAGCATTGTTTAAATATGTGTCTGTCCAGCGAGGCACCACAGTGTTGCGCTCAGCTGGACACAAACAGGACGCCACAAATAGTCACGTAATGATGAAACCAGCCAGAGACAGAAGCACATGGCATGAAGTAGGCGTGAGATTTAGATTGTCTGCTGGAAAGATGTAGAAGTGGTGGGACTGCCCCTCCTCCACCCCCAGGCTGATGAAAACATGGAGGGAGCTTTAAAGCCCAACCCCAGCCCGTCCAGTGGGAAGGCTTCAGGTCTGACTGGTGAGGACTGCAGCCGAAACAGATTGAGAGGTGTTAGCTCATTACGGTATCTCACTCTGAGTACAAACATCTGTCTGCAGCTTGAATGTCTCCTTTTGGGAAATATGCTGATTTGCTTTGTTGTCGAGAGTTTGGAGAGAAACTCAATTAATGCCACATGAAGGGTCTTAGGACGATGTTGGGCCACCATGCCTACGAGAAAAACCTTCAAAACGCCGTGGCTTTGACTCTCCAAGTCTCTGGAACTTTACCCGAGTATGTATCGCCATTCGTCCAAAAGATGACCTTTCATTTGGCGTTCTGATGATGGCAGTCGGTGTGCAGCTGGGTTCAGATCTGACTGTGAAGGCCCAGGACTCATGTTCATCAAACCACTCAGGGACCATCAGGGACCCCATCCTGGAAGAGTCCGATCCCATCAGGATGACATGCTTCATCAAACATAAAGGGAGTCACTCAGAACGACTTCATCTTCCTTTCCAGTGACACTTCCTTCTGAAGGAACAAGTGGACTCACACCATGTCGGCCAAACGCGCCCACAGCAGAACACAGGTGCTGCTTTCTTCTTTAGTTTGTCACCCAGAAGCGTGTTAGCTTCACCTGAAGAGTGTGACCTCCTGGAGTCTCTGGAAGCATCTACACATCCATCCATC